AATATACTTTTAGCTATTTTTTGCAACGCTAAACTAAAAGCTTTTTTTTTATTATTTTAAAAACTTAGTTAAAATAAGTACAAAGTACTAATAAGTTAAAACTAAGTATAAAATAGTTAGCTACTAGACAACGCTAAACTGCAACTAAAATTAGGCTATTAAAAATAAGGCTAAAAATACTAAAAAGCTAATATTTCTAAAAATAATTTAAGCAAAAATACTAATAAAATTATATAAACTTTTAGTATAGCTTATTACATAGCTAAAGTTTTAAAAGAAGTATAATAATAATAAAATTTTTTTAATAAAAAAAAGAATAAAAAAGTTAAAATTAAATAAAGCGCTTTTAAAATAAAAAAACCTAAATAAACTATTTATTTTAGTAGTATCTATAGCCTTTGCAGAGGCTATTACGCTAATAAAAGTAAATATAATTATAATTATAAAGCTATAAAATAAATAAAATACTTAAAATTAATTTATATTTAAAATATATTACTTAGGCTAGTTTATTTTAATATACGTTAGTTATATTTTATACACGCTAAAAAATAAGCTAAAAATTAGTATACTAAGTAAATAGTTTATTAAAACAGTTTTAAAAAATAAATTATAAAGTAAAAAAATAATAGATAGTGCGCATATTAACTAGGATATAACAGAAAATATAGCTATAAAGTTTAAAAATTTATAAAAAAGTTTAACTCTGCAATATTAATAAAAATAAATAGTAGAAAATAGTAAAAAATAGTAGAAAATAGTGCAAAACTGTGTATATAAATTAAATTACTTAATATACTAGTTTTAATTTTAATTTAACTTTTATAAAAAATATATTTTATATTTAACTTTTATAGACTATATTACTAGCCTGCACCCTATTACTAAAACGCTAACTATTTAATAAGCACTATTAATTTAATTTTTATAAAAATATAAAATAATAAGCCTGCAGGCAGTAGGGTATATATATATAAAAAGTTTATACTAATAGCAATACTAGCAACTTGTGTAATACTAGCAACTTACCTAAATTAGTAGCTGCTTAATTATTAATAAGTATATATAATTATGCGCAATTATCTGCTACTATATAACCTAGCTAAGTTAACTTTTTAGAATTTAAATACAGACTAAACACGATTGAATTTTCCTAATGTAGTTTATTTTTATACTATTTTTTATAAAAAGTTTTATTATAGCAGCTATAAAAGCTTTAGTTCCTAAAATATACTATAAAATTTATAATAAAAGGCTAGTAAAATAGTAGTAGCTAAAATTAAAAAAGTATTATATAGCTGCGTTTAAGTACTAAGCAATTTATAATTTTAGCTATATTATTTTATTAGTATTATTTTGTACTAGTATACTTAAAAGTAATATTTTTACTTTTATAAATTATAATAAACTTATTTAAGCTATTTTTGCTTGCCTAGTCTAGCTAAATATAATAATAGTATTATTTTAAGTATTTAAATTTTACTAATTAAGCAAAAAAAGTATTAAAAAGCCTTGCTTTAGTGCATAAAAGTTTAATTTTAGTTTAACTAATATAATTATTTATAAAAATAGCTTAATATTAAGTATTTTTATAGCTAGTTGCAAGTAATAAGCTAGTAATATTTATATATATAAACTTTAAAGAGTACTTACTTAGTTTAAAAAAATTATTATAAAAAAGTTTTTTAAAGCAAGCTTTAATATATGCTAAATAAAAGCAAAATTGCAGCAAAAGTTTTATACTAGTAATTATATTTAGCAACTTTTTTAAAAAAAAATTTTTAAAGTAAGCTATGCGCTAATATTATAGTTTTAGTTAACTTTATTTAATAATATATATAAAAAATACTATACTATTTATATAGCTTATTACTTTAGTTAAGCTTTAAGCAAGCAGTAACTAGTATAAGCTTAATAATTTTTTAGCAAAAATTAGTTTTTAAGTAATGCTAATTTTAAAGCTATTATTAGCTAGCTTATAAGTATAGCTAGCTTTTTTTAGCTAAAAAAAAAAATAATATTATAGCTACTATTAAAGTTATAAAAGCAGTTTTAAAGCGCAAAGTAAACTACTTTAGCTTTTAAAAAGCAAAATATAAAAGTAGTACTAATAAGTATTAGTATTTAATTAGTGCTTTTATAATTTTAAATTCTAAAGCTAGAGTATAAGCAAAAAAAGCTTTTAATAAAATAGTTTTTATAGTAAATAATATATTAGTTAGCGCTATTATTAAAGATTTAGTTTTTTAATAAAAAGCTATTTATAAATAAAGCTGTAGTAATAGTAAGGCAAAAGCGTATATATTGTAAAGCTTTTGCCTAAATATAATAAATTATAAAAATATAAAAGCTTATATTAAAAAGTAGCACAAAAGCTATATTAATTAACTATTTTACTATAAGCAGTATTTTTGCAGTATTTTATTATTTATTTAGCACTAGCCTTTAGGCTTTTTTATTTTTTTAGCAGCGCTTTTTAAATAGAGCTTTTAGTTTAAAGTATAAAAACTAGCAGACTTTATAATTATATTTTATTTTATAATACTTATTATATTTTTTAATAAAGTAGCTTTTGCGTTACTTTTAGGCAAGCACTAGTACTATAAATTTTATAGTATTAAGCTTTTAGTTTGCTTTTTTGCGTTTAGCTAGTATAACTATATTATTAAAATTAGTTTTTTTTTTTTTTGTACTATTAGGCCTGCGTGTAGGCAATAAACTATTATTTTAATAAAAATTAAAAAAAAATATAGTATAGTCTAGTTTAAAGCTTTAAAAAAAGCAGTTAATAAATAGCAGTTTTAGGATTTTTAAATTAGTATTTAAAATTTTTATTTTATGCCTTGCTTTGCGCAATTGCTTAGTATAAGCTAAAATACTTTTATAGTTAGCTAGTAAAATTTTAAAATATAAAGTATTTATATACTAAAGTATAGCGCTACTAGTTAGTTAAAAGCGCTATTTTAAGGCTGTAAAATAGAAGTATACGCGCTTTTTTACTAAAATTTTATTTTTATTACTTAATTTTAAGTAGGCAAGGGCGTTATAGCTGCAATATTTTTTAATAATACTATATACTATTTTTTAGTAGTATATTTAAAATTTAAAGTAAGTATAGTAAACGCTTTTAAAAACTTTTTCTAGTTATATTAAGGCTAATTTATTGCAAAAAAAAAGGTTTTTATAGCTACTAATTTTAAAAAATTTAGTAACCTGTTTTTCCTATTATAGTTAATTATTTAGTAATTTAAATTATTTAATTTTTTTAAGCAGGACGCTAAAAAGGCCTTTATTTTTATTTATTTTAAAATATATTTAGCTAGTAAAAGGCCTAAAAATAAGCGCGTATATAGTTAACTTTTTTTTAAATAAAAAAATTAAGCTTAAATAGTAAAAGCTTAATTTTAAAGCTAAAAAAGTTATAAAAATTTAAAAATAAAAGCGTATTTAACTAAGTAAAAGTAGCTATTATAATACTATATAGTATAAGTAGTATAGTATATAGCTAGTTATTTATACAGTTGCTTAGGCAGCTTTATACATTATAAAAGTATTTATTATAGTAGTAGGCTTTATTAATTTAGCATTTTAACTGCTAGAACTAAGTAATATTTAAGCTATATTGCTTAATTAAAAAGCACAAAAATTAAAAGTAAAAATTATATTTATAAATAATAATTTAAAAAATATTGCTTTTAGCTATTTTAAGTATTCTAGTTAGTATTAGCTTATATAAAATAGCTGGCAAATTTGTAAAGTTAAAAAGTTTTAGCTTTTAATATTAAGCTTATTAAAGCTGCGCTTAGGCTTTTTTAACTTTTTTAAATAATTTTTTAATTTTATTTTTATTTTTAATTATAAATTTTACTACTAACTACTACGTTTTTAGCGTTGTTTAGTTAGTAATACTTAGCTAGTTTTTTTTTATTTTAGTATTAAATGTGCTTTAATAAGTAGAATTTTTTTAATTTTTATAAATACTTTTTTAGCTTTTTTTATTTTTTTAATTTTAGTATTAAAATACTAGCTTTTTAGCAGTTTAAGTTATAATAAGTAGCATTTAAAAAATAGTAAACTAGGTTTTAGCATTTAAACATAATTTTATAGCTTTATAATAGCAAAATATTGCGCAATTAAAAAAAATTAATACTTAACTTTAGCCTAATTACTAGGCTTATAACTTATTTAATAGAAGCTTATAAAAAATTAAAAAAATTAATTAAATAAGCAAATTTATAGAGGACCGGCAGCTATATATACCTAGGAGGTTGGGAGTCACATGATATATACCGGTTCTTAACAGACAGGAATCCTTCTCTAACAACGCCAGAATTACAAAAGCATGTCAAAGGCTGCGCTCGTCACAAAGGAGTTATATACATTTGATTGTATTCGTTGAAAAGAAGGATCAAGAGCCACAAAACCACATCGTCATCACCAACCCAACCCCAACCAAAACAACGACACGAATCCCTGGATCCCACCTGTTTGTACCGCCAAAGCCCAAACATGTCCAATAAAGTTGTCGCGACAAGACTAGTTCTGCTGACTTACAAGAGGAGGTGATCGTTTGGCACCAAATCATTATCAACCGATTGGACGCACCACTCTGCAGTGGTAGGACATTGCAAATAGGAAAGAAACGACGGACGGAAGCCACACGGACACCAATACAGTGCGTTAGCACATCTCTAACCCCTGCTATTTCTTATTATAGTAGAACTACTTTTCGAACAAGTCAGCGCAATTTTAACTACCCAAGCGATAATTGGTGCAGAAAAGATTTCTGATGCCTATGAACAAGTCGTGGTGATGACATAGAGTCAGGAGGGCGGGTCCTAATAGCTAAGTAGCTACACTACTTCTAATCTTATATGCATTTTCGTGTAAGAAAGTAGTTTTTCCAACCTTGACCCTGCTGCCAGCTCACTGCCAGCTCATGGAACGATCGTCACTTCCATGTCGCTGCTCCTATTACTGAAATAATCGAGTTAGACGCTTTAATGTGTACCTTCAGCGCCCTCCGATACAGCCATCACTTTGTTCTCCTGGACCGCACGTAGAATGCGATCGAACTTCTCCTCCGCAAGTAGATTCGCATAGGAGATCTGCACTTCCTGTGAGACTTTATGATGGCGGCAAAGATAGCTCAAGCGATTCGCTAGAGCTACTACGATCGGGTCGTTCTCGTACTCCTCCCGCGTGTTATTGGTCACAGTCGCGATTTCGACAAGACTCGGTACACGATGCTCGACACCGCTGATGTAGCGCTCCTCGATGTGTCCGACATACTGGTGCATTCCGAGTCTATAGGCTGTGAGACGGAGCTCCAGTGCGACGTTCAGGTCATCGGAAACAGGGACTATAGGGAATTCCGCATTGTTGCACAAATCCCTCAACCACTTCGCGATGGTCTTGACAGCCCCCAACGAGATGTCCTTGTGCGTGAAGCCGAGCTTTTTCGCCTCGAGATTCTGAACCATGTGCGCTCGGAAGCTGGGCGATGCTACGAGCAGTGCTAGCTTTGGTACCTCTACCTTTACAGGCTTCTTTGCACAGTCTACCTCGAGAGTAATTGTAAGGGTGGGCAGCAAGTCCTTTCGAGCAGACGGCGACCAATTGCGCAAGTCATAACCACCCTCGAGGCTGTTCATCTCTGCTATGACTTTATTGATCTGGCCTTCTGGGGAGAGACCAGCGACGAAGGTATCTTTCCGGAGATCATCGCGCCGACGTCGGTTGCGGTTGCGATCGTTGTGGCTGTGGGAAACGGATCCGTCGCGAGGATCCATGGTGCAGGGTTTGTGAGTAGCGTTGAGTGGAGTGTCTAGTAGAGTGTTAAAACGTATTCGGATCCTTTGAATGGCTGTATTGTCCGTACCTTGAAACCTTCGGGGTTGATATCTTAGAGGAATCTGATCAATGGGGTTATGTAGAGTGGTTTATGCGGGAACGGGTAGGGGCACGATGCTTTTATGAGGCCAAGGGTGGTCAAGGATTGGAGTGAAAGCAATCTCGGCTGCAATGACTCAGGGAGGTGATGATCTGGAGTAGGTCATACATCAGTGAATCTGATGAATCTCTTCTAATCTTTCCAGTAGTGCATGTCTGCGCTGTGCTGAGTCTTTGTGTTGATACAATTCACAATGTTCCTAAAGCTTCACCACTGTCAGCTTTGCAATTGGTAAGTTGAACAGTCGGATGTTTCTCATTATACTCCATTAGGTGTCTCTCAGGTTACTACATTCTACAACACGGCGCCATCTTCCACGGTTGGCGACTCCGGGTATGCAGAAATCTGCCAAAAGGTAAGGCCGACCTTTGCTTCTACTCAACTGGGACAAGAAGTGAAAAAGAGGAATATGAAACGCTTAGTAGATTATAGCAGTAACCATGAACATGAAATGCTTTAAAGACGGCTGCATTGTCAACGGTTTGCTGCTTGTCGAGTACAGTGTCAGAATACCCAGCAGTCAGTGCTGGCTTCCGGTTAATATACCTCAAAATCCTAATTGAAAGAAACGATAGTCGATTTTCTGCCACTCATTCTGATCGAAATTCGGACTTTTCTGAGTATATGGAATATGTTTCAGTGCATAGCTCTTGTAGGGATTCTTCTCCCAAAAGCGCAGTCCACAAGCTTCATCGCAAACGGGAAACAATCAGAGGAGAGACAGTAGTAATCTACTGAAACAATTGTTTCTGACGCGCAATCTCGTAATTTTTACATAAAGCAGGACTTCTAGTACACTAGCCACAGTGTTGTTGCCTTGGTACTTGCTTTCAGTGAGTGAACGCCAAACAAAGTGGTAGTGTACCATTGTGTGAAGTGAATGCACGATGCACGGTGGAAGACTTAGTCTTGTTACAATATAGCGCATAATTTTCCTTCCCGCAGACTATATAAACTATTTTCCAGCCAATATCAACCCCCAGCTTCTTATTTCAAATCATCACCCGCGCAATCACACCAACGAAAGTAATCTCTGCCGTCTATCCTTTCCGACTATTTGCTGTCCAACTACCGGTATCAACTCTTGAAGATAAGCCAGCACCCAGAAAGAAGCGAAAATGACAAACACACACTTTTCCCGTCAGCCCACTTCGTGCGGTCCCGCTCCGAAGGATTCGAGCCGCGTTCGAGTCCAGAACACGATTCGTGTGATCAATAACTTGCGTGGTGGCGAGGATATCGCCAACTACTCCCTGAGTGCCCGCAAAGAGCTTGCGTCTAGCGATACTGTCGACATTGTTCTTGGTGCCGCTGCGGATAAAATTGAGGGTGTTCCGAAGTTAGCGCTCCTCGTACTCTCCACTACGTTCCGTCAGTACATCGAGGAGAAGCCCGAGGCGGCCGAGATTAAGGTTGTCTCTGCCTCCATCCACCTTCCTTCAGTCGCCATCTTGATGAACTGGGTCAAGGACGTTGCGAGCTCCAAGACTCATTACATCATCAAAGTCCCTGTTCCGGCCACGCTAGTCGACAAGGTCAAGCTCATTCACGCCGCGCATATTCTGGGTATGAGCCGTTACATTGACATTGTAATCAAGCGCTTCAAAGAGGAAGTTCGATCACAAATCCCACGTCCTGAGGACTGCGCCGAGTTCGAGCAGTACGCTATCTCCGCGGATCACGAGATTATCAAGGCCGTTGGTGAGCGCTTCGGTTATCTTCTTCGCACCTACAAGTTCCCTGGCGATCGCAAGATGTTGACCAACTTCCTCGCGCGCCACGAGATATTCGACAAGGCTGTCCGCGATGCTGACGCTCGATCCCTTGCTAAGCGCGCTACGCAAGTCTAAACGTACTCGAATTGCTTCAACTCTAGGATGTGCTCTGTCCAAATTGCATCTTATAGAGTAAAGGTTCATTTACATAGCTGATCATTCGGACCGAAGGTAAAGGTGTTTTAGCTTAAAAGGAGTTGGGGACACAATGAATTCTATTTTCTAACAGCTGTACATATCTCGTGCTTTTTGTTGAACTTCCAATAAAGATGAACGATTAACCATTGGAAAACTTGACAGCTCCTTTGATAATTTAATGCTTGGCTCAAAAGTGGCTATGATCGTAACAACTAAATACCTCCTATGGCGGCGATCACCAACCGGGTTGGTCTAACGGTGTATAGCGCTCGAGTCGCATGGATTAGATCAAGTGAAACCCCTTGTATAGAGCTAGAGCTCAACCTGACGGAAATATGATACTAAACTCTGATGAGAAGTGGAGGTGATGGGACATCTAAGTCTCGATTCATCAGTCCCCTTGAACGCGTGGGAATAAACCCGAGGCTAACAGAGCTGTCCAACATGTCTTTGCGCAGGGAACAGCCGATTGGACCTGGACCGCACATTATTTGCTGAAACTATGATTTTGAACAAACAGTTTGCGAAAATGATGTTAATTTACTTCGAATGCCATTGTCTAACGCAGAAAAGCTTCTATAATAAGACTGCCTGAGTGAGTACACAATGTCGACATGGAAGCAGTTTTACATGTTCATGTAATTTCACGCTGCTAATTTCTAGCAAGTTTCAGCTTCATGTTTGTATTAGTCTGTTTTGGCTTGTCATCTGCAACAAGGCAAGCACTTACGTCTACTCATATATACTAGAATAGCTCCCCAGCTCGTAGATAGATCATCTTTTCACCTTTATATTTGTCTTCACTCGGTGCTAGCCCATACAATGTGCCCCGCAACTGGAGATTCTGAATATTACGTAGTGAAGCTACAAGTTGGTGAAAGACATAGTAGCCCCACAACAATGGGCTAGTCGGTGCCCCTCTGCTTTATATACCTCCTACCCTCGTCGTATTTCTCCCTCTCCACCCACGCACACTCACACGCATACACTCTACACGGAGAGAACAAACTCCACTAGAATTCAAAAATTCACAAGAGCATCAACTCCGACATATTTCCACGAGATTACTTCGAGTAGATCAGTCATGCAGAATACGAAGGCCCCCGCCCGCGGCTACAACGCTGCTCAGCCAGCCCACGTTCAGGTTCAGAACACCATCGAGAACATGCGAAACATGCGAGACGGTAAAGACCTTCGCAAGTATTCCAAGTCCGCTCGCAAGGAGCTCTTGCTTGGAGGGACTATCGATATCATGACGAAAGATGGAAAGACAGTCATCGGTGCCGTTCCGAAGCTGGCTCTTGTGGTCGCATCCTCAACCTTCCGTACCTACTTGGAGAAGAGCCCGAATAGCAGCTCCGTCAAAATCTCGAACACCTCCATTGATGTATCAGCCGTGTCGGTTCTACTCATCTGGCTCAACGCTATCACCAAGTCCGTCGGCAAGTACGGTGTCACCATTCCCGACTCGAATGACGATCTCATAAAGATCCGCTATGCAGCCCAGATGCTGGGCATGGACCCCTACGTCACACACCTTGTTAAGGCTTACAAGGATGATCTGCGTCTACGCACTCCTCCGCCAAGCGAGTGCACTCTCCTCGAGCAGTGTACCGTGTACAAGAACGATGAAATGATCAACGCCATGGGCGCACGCTTGGCTTATCTTCGTCGCACTGGCTCCTTCGGGAAGGAGGACTTGATCGTTCTCACTGAGCTCTTCAAAGATAACAAGAACATTGGGGATGCCGCTCAGCGAGCCGACGCTCGCGCTCTGAGCAAGCACGACGGTGGTGCCTCTAAGGCCTAGATGTAGCGACTTGCTACGGCGGTCTATCGGATCGATCGCGATCACCTTCAGCAGTCTTCAATGCGCCTGACGATGGGCGAATAATATATTGGTTATCGAACCAGGAATTGGCTTAGTATTAGTGTCGGTGTATACCAGCTAAACGTGAGTCAGTCATTGGAATGGAAATTGGTCAAGGTCCTCATGCACAATGAGATTCCTGTAAAAAGTAACAACAAAATAAGTGAAGACGTGTTTCTCTAAGAGTGCCCAATACTCATTTATCGCTGCAAAATATGAGTGAATTTCGTCCAACTAAAATCTTGAAATACTTTTCCAACATCGCCCATCTCGGCACTTAAAGTACAATTACAGAGCTATTGATAATTTAACACGTAGTATTGGGGTATGCGCATTTGACATCGTTTTTACCTCCACCATCGCTGCCATTTTCAACTTCCCCTTGTCTACTTCGTGTGCCACGCTTACAATTGACGATCCTTTGCGCAACACTTCGACAACGAGTTCGGGTCCAGATGGCACATTTAGTAAAGGCGTCTAACTAGGCGCGGTATGTAGCATTTTGGAATGATCACATTCGTGAAAGATGGTAGGCGAAGGACACTGTCCCCACTCAGCGATACCTCGGGAAGGAATCGCGCACGAGCCACCGAAACATCCCACCTTCGCGGCTGCCTCCTTCTGACATCATATCGCGATATCTGAAAATTCCCGAACCAAGAATGTCTACATCTGTGTCGGAAGGCAGCAAAGTTCAACTTCATCAATACTGTCGGCGGTGCTCAAGTGTACTCAGGTCATCGCGGATACTCAAAGGGTCACGGAAGCGCAACGAAGAGAAGCTACTAATATATGATAGTGACAATGCTGAGTATGAGGCGCAGAAGATATGTCACTTCTGCACTCATATCCAGATGGCTTGTAAAGTGGGTCTTGAGCGATTGGGAGAGTCGTCGCTCGAAGCCAAACAGATCTGGTTGAATGTCACCAAAGCAGCAGAAGAGGTCGGGCGCCCACCTGTGCGCCTCTCCATAACATGCAGCACACCAGGCACGCAATTTGTGCAGGAACTGTGGGCATCATGTGAGGCTGGGGCCGGTAAATTCATCAGACCTATTACTTTTTTGACCGTGCTAATCCAAAGAAGAGCACAACGTCTACCCACTATGGAATGCCCCCGAATCAATTCCCGATGCCTGCGTAGCATACACGTCTACATCTTCAAATGCCCATGTAGCTCTAGCTCGTCGCTGGTTAAACGAGTGTCGAGTGCGTCACACAGAATGTTCGAGGAAAAAGGACGCCCGGGTTTTGCCAGGACGTCTCCTATGCCTTATCGATTCGCCGGAAGCTACAATTCGATTGGTAGTTCCTCAATCGGATAGTATAAAATACTGCGTTCTGAGCCATCGTTGGGGCGCTTCAGCGCCCACAAGCAGGCTTATGTTGTCTAACATCGAGCAGTACAAGCACACTATTGCTGTCGACATGCTTCCCAAATCTTTTCGCGATGCTATTAAAATTTCTAGAAGTCTGGCTATCTCACATATCTGGATCGACTCACTATGCATCATTCAGGATAGCAGAGAAGATTGGGAATGTGAGTCTCGAAAGATGGATTCTATATTTGAGGGCGCTACGTGCACTATCGCCGCCGCTGGGGCCGAGGACTCGGGTCAAGGATGCTTTGCAGACCGCAACCCACTGGAACAATCTAAATGTCGACTGATGAACACACCGTGGTATATATCTGGTAGGATGGGTTCCACTTTGGATGTTCAAGAAGCAACTAGCATTACACCGCTCTCAGAACGTGGTTGGATTTTTCAAGAGAGACTTCTATCCCCCCGGACTTTATCATTTGGCAAGCGCGGTATAATCTGGCACTGTGCACGTGGTGCCGCAACTGAACAGGATCCTGATGGCTGGAGTCTACTCGGGGACTATTCAGCTTACGTAGACAAGATCTTCGGCTCTAACTCTCCAGTTGGTGATTGGAAACCATGGCCACAAGGCTTCACTTTCCAGTCAAAGCACTACCTCGAAAGCCTCATGACAAGGGCTTGGACTAATTGGAATGAGAAGCCAGACTCGAGATCAGCATACTGCTTTCATCGAGATTGGATGGGAATCGTGCAAGCGTATAGCAACTGCAAGCTGACTAAGTCTGAGGATAGACTAGCTGCATTATCAGGCATTGTGAATCGCGTTGGAATGTACGACCATTCTGTATCGCCCAGCTACCAGCCTTTCTCGTCATATATTGTTGGTGCATGGAAACCTACAATGCTCCTCGATGTTCTCTGGTACCGGCAATCTTCTACGTTAGACCAGGCCACTTTCAATACTCGTTTCCCCTTCTGGTCATGGGCCTCAGTCAACGGACGAGTAGGATCAATCGCCCATCGCGACATCCCCGCAGAAACCATCATCGCCGCTCTGGAGCATCCTATTGCAAGCTTTCTGGGCACAGAAGTCGTCAGCGATAGAAGGGCGCTTATCTTTAAAGGTGCTCTAATGCCAGCGCACATCAGCTCCGATCGAAAGTTAGTGTACTTTACATGCTTCAAGCAGTCCCACCACATGCGATGCTTTATTGACTGGCCTCGTGTTACCGAAAATGCCTGCTATTTTATGCCTGTATTTATTGAGCCGGAGATATGGCTTGGACTCCTCGTTGTGACTACTGAATCAATGTCGACAAATCGATGGCGTAGAGTTGGAGTCGCCGTTGCAAGTGGAAGAAACTGTAATTGGGTGCAAGAGATGCGCCACGAGGAAATCGTCATCATATGAATCACCTGGGAATCTGTGATCGATATTGTTGTAGATTGCACTTAGGGTTAGGGTGTGGGACCACGTGCACGGCACATCGCCCGTTTGTTTGCTTTTTCCGGCATTGGCAGGTCTCGACAAATGTAATCTCTACAGTATCTCTCAATGATACATTTAGCTGGCCTGGCATTGTGTAAACGCTAATGCCTTAATAATATGTTATGGTGCTAGGTATAGCACCTAAACTGTAATTTTATGTACTAATTTCTCCCACTGCGTTGTAAAATCCGCTCTAGCGTTGACTTTACTTTTAAACAAAGCAGTAGTCTCTATAGTACCTAGGATAAGATTCAGACTCTCGTTTCTAATGGTGCCCAATCTCCTTCGGTGCGTTTCAATGAGTAACTTAGTCACCTTCTGTTATGGCTAGTCCATGTTTCCGACTCAACTGAGAGCTCTAGGTTCAGGGCTAGCCGGCTCGCTAGGTCGTGTATCATGATATAGCAACTAGTGCTGTAACCGGAGCCGTTCACTACCTGCTTATAATTCCTCACAAAATGCCACACCCCCTTTCAAGTCCCTCGGAGCCCTATATTACTCTACTGTGATTGAAATCCACTCTTAACCTACCTTCATATAAACCGCTATAAACCTCCAGGAGTTGCAGCAACGGCTACCATGGACGATTTCCCCAACGAAATTCTACTAAACATTATTACGATTCTAGAGGTTTACAAATCCGCCCTAGCGAACCTTTCGCGGACTTCGCGGACACACAATGAACTATCGTTAAAAAACTAGTACCAGAGCATTTCCGTCGGCCAGTGTCGCGAAAACCAGGGAGATATACCACGTTTTGCTAGAACACTCAGAAAACGTCCCGATATCGCCATTTGCGTCAAGAAACTCGCTATTGCATCCACAAAATGCGCCAAGAATCTTTGTTATGAAAAGATTGATGAGCCGCTGAGCAATATGGAGAAGAAATAGCGTGTCAGATTCGAAACAACCAGTGACCAGTGGATATTCTCTAATAGCCATTCGGGCAACCCGCGATTTCTGCAGACCAAAGCACTGTGGGTGCCGGCCATAAGGGTAAGAGAGGAATCAGGGTTTGCTGGACTGCTGATTGCACTCGCCAGCCATGTCTAGGATCTTGAGGTCAAAGTTTTCGATACTGCAGACTATAAGAAAGTAGACGAATACCCACTTCTACGCCTGTTTGGGTTCAAACGAGCATATTGTTCTAAAGACGCTGACCTGTCGCCTATCACTCTACTTCTCCCGGCTTTGTGCACGGCAACACCCTTTAGTACATGTGGTAACAATATGGAACTCCTCGCTTGGGGATTTGACAACCTCACAACGTTGGAAATCGACCTGCTGTGCAAAAAGGACGGGTTTTTACAACTTGATATGCCAACGAGCTTGCGCCTTTTCAAGCGCCACAGCCCCTTTCCCAGCTTAGAACCCACATTATTCATGGCAACTGGACAGAGCTCACAAAACCCATCGGCCAAATAGGGTTTGTTGAATGCATCTTGAGAAAGCTCGGCGCACAAAGCCCTGTAAAATTCGAGGTAATACTCGAGGAAAGCCTGGTATGTCTGTTGGTGCGTCATCCTGGTTCATTCAAGGCCCTGGTTCAGCAGCTGCAACCTATCACCGCCTGCCTTGAGGGACTGAAAATCAGCATTGCCAGTAATATTGACTCATGGATGCGATGGACTATGACCTACGTCAACCCAAACTCGAGCCTAATTACACTCAAATGATTGAGAAAGGTCACAATACTAGTCAAGATTACCTTGGAGCGTAATTGCGATATCGACCCCATCGTGAGACCAAGTCTGCAGTACCTAATTCCCCCAGCCCAGGGCAAACCATGCCTTTTTTACTCAAACGTGAGGCGATACTATGGTTAAAAGGTCTCTATGTAAACTCCGGTCGGTCTAAGCTCCACACTGTAACACTTGATTGTGAAGACCCGCTGGGTAAACAAGCGCGGTGGTTCTGGATAAGACATGCAGAATTCGATGATTCACCAGTCAAAGTCAAAATTTACGCAGGCGTAAATACCGAAGTGAAGATCTTTAGGGCCCAACGAGTGGATGAGATGGAGGATGGATGGGCAAGGAGCCTTTGGGAACAGACTGGAAGTCATGGCTTGCACGAATCAAGACAGCAAAGAACGAAAATCCTAATGAGAGCATGACTTCTTCCCACCGGTAGCGATTTGTGTGTAAGAGTGACTACTAACCTATCGTATAACTAAATGAAAGGGGCGTCCTCCCGTGTACTTTAGCACCCCTAATACCACAAAGCCAAAAACAAAATACTGGTCAGAAATCTTTTATCCCATCGTATCCCTTTTAGACGAGCTATATCCGTAGGGAACAACAAGCTTGATTAAGTGTAGTAGTACAGTCTTCGACACCTTGCTTTCAGCGCAGCGACTACTTCTCGGGCTTTTCACCACGAAGACATTTCGTCCAGTTCTTGTTCTGCGAGATCTCTTTGGCTTTGTCCTTTTGCTCCGCGCGCGACAACTTCGTTTCACCCGGCTTCTTCAAGTTTGGCTTTTTCCCGTCTGAGAAATATCTAGTCGCCCGAGCGACTGTTTTGCCCCCACCGGCTCTTCTTGTAGCCGCAGCCGCAATGGCACGACCAAGAGCCCTAAAAGCGTTGGCAATTGCAGTAAAGATATTTCGCTTCTCATTAGACAGCTCTGAATTCTCCGAATTTGCCTGAGCGGTACTATGGATATCCCCTTTCTCGATGGATCGCTTTGAATTCCCCGAAGCCGCATCACCAACCACCAGGAACTCGTTAACATAGTCTTCGTTGGTGATATCACTCTCGTCGTCAGGCAACGCATTGTCTAGCCAGTCGTCGGTGATGTCATTGCTGGGCCAGAACTGGAGCATATCCCCGTCGATGCTGTCAAACAAGTCTTCAGAGAAGCCACCATCAGCCAACTCAAGCATGGCTATTGTACCAATGGAGGCGGCGACAGCGGGAACACACACTGCCTCGCGGCGGTATATCTTCTGGTTCCTTTTGTCTTGTCTCAGTTTGTCCTTCTCCTCCCACTCCTTGTTCTTTACCTCTTTATTCTTCTCCAGACGCTCCTTGATCTTTTCCTTGAACTTGTCGAACTTTTTTTTGATCTTTTCTTTGATTTTCTCCTCGTACTGCTTTCTCTTATCCTCCTCGCTCACGTCGTTGTCTCTGACGCAAAGGGTACTTGTGGGGTCTGCCTTCATGAGCGGTGGGCACCTGATGCACTTGGAGTCGTCAGCGGGGTTTCGGATCTTCTTCTTTTTGCATTTAGCCCTCCTATCACAGCTTCCACCATCTCCTTCTTTTCTTGGGACTAGTCCGAGGCCAGCATCGTAAGTTGGAAGAACTCTCCATTTCGAAATCTCTAGGAATCCAGTACCGGGAGCTTCGTGGACCCAGTCAGAAGGGAAGATGGCTCTTGGTGGAGTATGGGCGGCGACCAAATGATTGATCAAGAGGAAGATGATCTTTATGGTTGTTACAATAAGCATGATGAAATGGTAAAAGTACCTATACTGAATAATGGAACGTGGATTGGACTGATCGCAGCTTCATGCCGGCAACTCCCCCTCTAGATATATGTATCTGCTCGCATTAACCAAATTGGTCTTGGGTGAGGCACTGTGCATCGGTCCTGCGATGTCTCTGTCTACCTGACAACCCCAAATTTATTTTAAGTTACAACAAGGTAGTAATCTGCGGCGTCTGTTCAAACTGACGAAATTAGGCAGTATCACACAGCTCGGTTTCCTTAGTATGCTGCTCGGCCCAAAATAGAGGCGCCGCAGCTTTCAATGTCTGCCTCGCGGCACAGTGCAGAAAGCTAGAATACCGTGCCGGATGAGCCAAGCACCAATACCTTTGTGAGATATGTGTCAACTTCCATTATAGATTTTCCTGGGGTCCAGAGAGACTCTGGGGCTGCTACGGCGTATCCCGCTCTTGGCATCGTGAATTACTTGGTGTGGTTTCCGTGCCGCTGGTGCGGTCTCCGTGCCGCCAAAGCCCCACGTCTTGGCTGTTTGAGCACATGCAACATGTGAAACAGAACATACGGATTCCGTTCTGTAAGCTTGCATCTGCGCCAAGTCAAACGCCTCTAACTATCACAGCCTTCTTTTTCCTCTTCTGCTATGGTAGTCGTTCACGTGCTTGCTTACCAGCGCTAAGGCTACCCGCGAGGTGAGACAGACCACCAATGCCAAAGTACCCCAAACGGGTTGTGAGGTGCTTCAGAAATGACAGATAGATCAAATCGCATATAGAATGATTAGTATCGGGTACGTGTAGACTGGCGCCATGATCATATGTATGAATAACATTATTCCACTAGAGTACTGCAGTTTGATAGTTCTGATCTCCTGCCTGTGGTAAGTACACTCATAGAAGGAGGAGGAAGCCACTCTAGTAATGATATGATTGTGAACGCAACTCTGTAATCTAGACTTCAATTGTAAAAAGATAATACATTGACTGATGCGACTAACCACTCGCCTGATGGTCGAGTTTCTCAACCTTTCTTACATATAACCTACGAAGACCTTCGTGACTCTGATTGATAGTTATGCGCAATACAAAGATCAGCCAGTCTACCCTTCACTTCAACGCTGGCGCGTCCATACCCTCAACCTTCCACAAATCCCACACCTCATAGCTACCGTAGTTTCCCGTCCAACAGCCGTCCTCGAACACAAAGGCCGCGCCATCCTGCATAATATTCGACGGCTTGCAATCATCACCCTTAAAGAAGACGACGACATTGCCAAAGTCTTTGTTGCCTTCGTCGGCCTTGATAATCACGGATGCTGAAGTGCCAGCCAAGTCTCGTTGGCAGCCGCTGTCGACTTTCATTTCTCGACTTCCTAGGGGTAGGCTATGACAGTTCTGAGTACTGTAAAAGGAGATTTTGTAGGCGTTTGTGAGGGTGAAGAAGGTGGCTAGGGAATGGAGGGCGAGGAAAGACTTCATTTCGCTGGTCGGTTGATTGAAGGACGAAGATATCTGACGGTGGCGACTGAAATTGTTGGTAGGTGGAAGTATGTTTAGTATAAAGTAGAGATCAATAAGGGATATGAAGATTTATGAGTGACTTTAGATGGATATAGCCCTGACGATCGGGGACGTTGCATCACTTTGTACGGCTTTTAGCTTCGATATATATTACTGTTCACTGCGTTGGGCTAAGCAGCCTGTAGATAAGATTCATAGTCATATTTCGGGGGTACTGATCAAGGGTGCACAAGCATTCGTGGAAGCTGTGCCGCCATCAGGTTGAGGAGCAGACCGGTGGCTGTACTCCGCATAACCACGCCATCACTCGTGTCTCTCACATGCCAGTCTTACTTTTACACCCAGTATATCGACCCAGAATTGATTCTGGGGCCGTAGCACGTCTGTATCTGGTAATAGATCTGCCTTACGCCATGAGCCGGCAGATGCTAGGCTGTGTGGCCATTGTTTGTACCAACAGCAGACACGGGCTTTCCATGCCGCTGCCATGTGGTTATCTTTTTCCTTATCTTGTATACTTTAATTTGACCTATGGGAGCTAGACCTCCCACAGCAAAACGACACAGTCTCCCTGTTTAAAGGGGGAGCTGATGTACAAACAAACACAGGCAACCCTTGCGGGCCTAAGAAATGCGTTTAGCAGTAATATAACAATACTATAATTCTACTTTTTTGCACGTCCCAATGCCCTAAGGGAGGCTACAGAATAGTAGATAGAAATAGCTACCGTCCTTCGGACGAAAAACAATACCAACCAACCAACCAGCCATGTGGTTATCATGTCTTCTTTGGAAAATACTCGATGGGCGGCAAGCGAAGATACATGCATCCGCCTTCTGTAAATCAGGAAAGATTGTGACAGGCATAGAGTTCTTGACATCTACGGTTCGATACGTCAAGTTTGTACAATTTGGTTTTATCCTTGCCCTGCAATTTGAAAAACACCGAAGACAAACATGTTTGATTACAGATTCAAAGAGACGTCGCCTCCTTGACTGCGCCTAGCTCTACCACCAAGTCCGCGAAGACCCTGTATTCCTTCGGTAGAGTGTTGTATGTGTCGGGGATATGAAGATCCTCGAGCGTGAGCTTTGCACCATGTTCCGCCAAATACCGAATCATCTTTTCAGATTTCGCATACATCGCCTCATGCAGGGCTGATAAGGGAGCCGCTCGATACTCACGAACGTCCATTTGCCAATCAGTTGGATATTCGTTAACATCCGCTCCTGCCTCAACTAGCATCTTCACGGTCTCAAAGTCATGGTTCTGAACCGCCAGTTGCAGCGTCCCCGAGTCAATGAACCAGTCCACTCCGAACTCATCCAGCAAAACCCGTATCGTTGGAGCCCCCGGCCATCCCGTAGTATGCTCGAAAAGTCCTCGAGCCCTCGATGCGCTGCCCCCGTGCTCGATCCACCAGCGGGTACAGTCAGCTCCCATAAAGAGCAAATGATGCCATGTCCGCCACTTGCATAACTGCTGAGGATTTGTGCGCCACTGGTGGAGATCGAAATCAAAAAGAACGTCGAGCCATGCCGTACTGGGATTATTGCGGACACGAGAACCGAGGAGAAGTTCGGAGTCAAGATAACCTGTGCCTAAGAAACCGTTCTCAAAGCAGACACGAAGGAGTTGTGGATCGCCTTCGGCCGTTGAGATTCTCATGAGAGGGCGGAGATAATGTTCTGAACTTATACTAGAGGAGTCGATAAGTTTCCGGACGGCGGCAACGTCACCTTGGAATCCACTCAGGAAGATGGAATTAATGATGGCCGTATCTGAAACATATTGTAAGCATTCCAGCTCAAAAGTGATTATTTTGCCGCGAGAATGTACTCACTATCTTCATCAAGCGGTTGAAAGTTCTGGCTGAGCACCAGTTTCCTGACTTCGTTCTCGAATCCTGCCGGGATATATGGCCTCTGCCCTTCAGCGTCTGTCTGGTGTCTCAAGCCTCCGTAATGGGCCACAGTATGTATCAAAGATTCTTCCAGTTCGATCCTGCCACTTAGTCGCGCATCGTACGCTTCCCTGAAACACAATGAGTCTTCCGACATTGCTACCACTACCAGAAATTGGGTCCTAGTATGGTAACTATGATATGCAAAGATTGTGGAGAGAATCGCAATGTGTACTGTGAGATTTCGATTGAAAGCTCGGTAGAGATTCAGCTTGAACCAACCCTTTTCGTTATTGAGATTATGCGTGAACAGTCGTGGGGAAATCCTCGAGTGTATCTTAGACGACAACATTTTCCACGTGCTATACATTCGCTGTCATGTTAAGATTCAGCCGGGGGCCGGTTCCGTGATCGCTATATGAAAAACCGCAGGTGTTGGATCTTTGAGGCGTAGGAGGCGTGGTATTCGAGGTTGGATGGGACGGGCGCCAAATTACATATCATATGGCAGCCACCAACAACTCCTTGGCGGACCCCTCTTCTTCGTATTCCAGGCAAGGTCGGTGAGACGAGGTCAGTGCTTGCTACCTAAGTCTCATGTGTATCTGCCTCGCTTGGCGACAAGGGGCAGCCAAGGGATAGGCAGTCAACAAACCGTGTTTCAGCGCCGCAAAGTGACGGCTGTGAGTGTCCAGAAGTGTGCGGGCGGAGTACCAATCGAAAGGTCGCTAGCTCACATGCAGCTAGTGTCACAACCGCCCCGCACTCAGTGTGCGGCGAGTATGCCAAAGCCCACATGCTACGCCGCAATAACAACAATTCCAAACTCGAGATACGCCCAAAATACATCAACATGTCAAAGCTCGGCCCAGGTAGACTTAGGTCGCTGACCGAAACTGAGTGGCGTATACTGCCTGTCGGAAGGATGGATATTAGCATAAGCAGGTTTTACTATCTTGCAAGGCCCGGTTGCCGTGAGAGACGTACAAACGCCGCAGAGTATGCCTGTCAATGTCTAAAATAGGACACTGAAACCATAATCACCGACTGTGGTTGTGGCACAGCTACAGAACTGAGCATCATATCATAAAGTATATCGGTGACAGAGAGAGAGAATTTACACTCTTTCTTTGCAAGCACCCGGCATACCTCTATAACTCGAATTATACATTGATCTCTTTTCTCCTTCATATTAAACATTACTTTATTGATCTTTCATTCCATCCCAGTCGAAGATGAAGTAGATTTTGTTGTGTTTGTTGTACTAGAGCTTCATACAACTGTCCGCCTCCTTCCCCGTCGAGGAGAAACCCGGCTTTACACTATGGCCACTAGGGAAAAGAACCCTCACGTCCCTCACAGAGCTTGAATTTTCGGGGCTTAGGGGTACCCATCTGGGTACCTCCAAAAAATCACATTTTGGGGTTCCCGATCCAACTTGCCGCAGTAAACTACCAAAGGAAGGATGTTGGGCAATCGACCAATTTACTGTTAATATGAGTAGCTAAACACTTAGTCTATGCATTAGCTGTTGAAAGTAATAAAGTTCTATTAACTAACTATTATTAAAAGTATATAGTTTTTTATTTATACCTAGTTTTCTGCTTACTAATACTAATTTATTTTTTTATATTTTTATATTCTTTTTTAAGCAGTGCAAACTTTTCTAAGCAAATTTTTTATTACGCTATAATTTTTTTATACTAAAAATAATATTTTTATTTTTAGCTTTTTTTAATACTTTTTTTATATTTATTTTTTAATAAAATAGCGTAAATTTATTACTTTGCAGCAGCTTTATTATGCTATTTATAGTATTTATTTTTATAAGTATATATTATAAGTTAACTAATTTTTTTTAATTTTTTTGCGCATAAAGTAATAGCGAATATTTATATATTTTATTTAAAAGTAAAATATAAAATTTTTAGCTAGTATAAGCGCTTTTTAATTATTTTTATATATTTTAATAGTATTAGGGCTTCTATACTTTTTAGTAGTAGTATTGCTAAAAAACTTTATTAATTAATTAAACTAAATAGTTTTTTTAGTTGCTTTAGACTTTGCAATATATTTAGTTTTATAATTTAAAAAAGTAACTATTACTTAATACTTTAAACTTTAGCTTATAGCTATACTATTTAGTATAAATATATAGCTACCCCGCAAAGACGGGACCTAGTAATATATTATTAATAGTTTATATTATTAATATTTTACTGTGTATTGCGTACTTTTATTTATAGAATTGCTAAGTAATAAATTTCTAATTTCTAATATAATTTTTTACTAAAGCGCGGCTTTTTTAATAGTTTTTAAGCACATATTTAAATATTTAATATAATATTAGCCTGCTACTAAGCAACTAATTAATACTAGGCTTTTAAGCAACAACAGCAACGCTAATGCTAATAATAATTTTACTTATAATATTAGCTTTAATGCTTAACTATTTTTTTGCTTTTTTCTTTTGCCTGTACAAGCTATTATATAGTATATTTAAATTATTATTACTTACTTTTCTGCTTTATTGCTTTAACGTATTACACAGGCGAGTTAGTTGCCTAGTTAAGTCAGTCACAATGCTAAGACCTTACTAAAATTAGTAGTTTTCTACTATTAAACGCGATATTTTAATATAATAATATACAATTTTTTTAAAAAGAAAATTAAATATAGTTTATAGTTTAGGCTTTAAAACGCGATGCAAATTTCTTCTAATAAAAAGCTGCGCAGATTTATAGCATTTTTTAAATAATACTTAGTAATTAACTAAAAAAAAAGCTTCTATAATATAATACTAGGCCTAATAAAATAAAGCTTTTTTTAATAAAAAAAAAAATAATTGCCTAGCATATATTTTACTTTAAAAACTAAGAATTTCTGCCCTAACTAGCTACTGTAAATAATATAGCTAATACTTTGCTAGCTAAATATAAGCAACTACTTATTAGCAGGAACTAGGCTAGTATATTTATTAAATAATATTTATAGCTTAGTACTAAGATTTTTTAAAAGTATAACTACTAAAAAGTTTTATATAAAAATTTTAAGCTTGTATAAAGCTAATTTTAATTTATAAAAAATATAAAAGCCAAGCATAGTATTTAGAATAAAAATATATATAATTTTAATAAAATAAGTTTTATAATAAGCTAAATATTACATAAAACTATTATTTTAAGTACTAACTATTAAAAATAGCTGAAAATAGTGCAATAAAGTAATTAAAAGTAGGTAATAATAATCTAAAGTATTAATATAATAAAATAAACTATTTTACTTTTTATTATTTTTGCAAGCAAGAACTACCTTTTAGCCTAGTATAAAAAAAATAGCCTATTCTATAATTAAGTTATTGCAGTTTCTAAAAACAGCTAAATAATAAATAAGCTTACTTTTAAGTAGTTAAAGCACTTTAATAAGTATACTAAAAAAAAAATTATTAGTACTTAT